CTTTACTGTATTGTTTTCCTTTCTCCTTTTTTGACCTTTCTTATTTCACTCTCTTGTTTCATCTCTTCTTTCTCTCTCTTTCTTATCTGTTCCAACTTGCTCATGTCATCTTTTTTCTTTCCTTTTCCTTCTTTCTCTCATTCTTTTATTCCTCTTGCTTATCACTTGATTTCTTCTATCTTACGTTTTATATTGTGTCTTGTTGTCTCTGAATCCTTTGTTATTTTTGCTTGCTGTGCTCCTACTTCTATTTTCTGTTCTCTTTAGCGTTTCTTGCTTTGTTTCCTCCTGTATTCTTTCCGTATGTCGCTAGTTTTCTCTTCTGGTTCCTGTCGTTTTCTTCTCGTACTCCTTGCTTCCATTCCGTTATTTCTTCATTTTCTCCCTTCTTCCTTGCTCTCCTCTCCTTTGTTCTTTCTCTAGTCGTTCCTTTTGTTCGCTGTTGTGTTTGCTTAATTTTTCTCTCTTCCTCTTGCATCTTTTCCTCCTGTTCTCTACTTTCTCCTATTTTTTCCTTTGTATAGTTTCTTTTCCTGTCCTTTCAATCTCTACTATTTTTTTGTTCATTTTTTCTCTTTTTCTTGTTTTGCTACTTTTTTTTTGTTCCTTCCGCTTTCTTGTTCTTTCCTTTTCTTCTTCTTTGTTGCTTTTATCTGATTTTTCGTTTGCTCTTGCTTGCTCTTTTCTCCTCCTCTCTTTTCCACTATTCTGTCTTATTTTCGTGTTTTTCTATTTCCTCCCTTACTTCTGCTTGTATTTCCTGTCCTCCTTTCTTTTCATTTCTTGCTACCTCTATTCTCTTCTTTTTTTCAACGCCTAATTCATCATTTAGTCTTTTCCTTACTGTCTTCCTCTATTACTCATTTCTTGTTTTTTCGTTGCCTTCTTTCCTCCTTCTTATGTACTCTATTTTCTATTCACTATACTTTTCATTCATTATTGTCTTGTTTCTTCCTCCTTCCTGTTGTTTGCTATTCTGCTTGCTTTATTTTGTTTTCTTTGTGCTCCTTTCTCATATGCCCCCGTTTTCTTCTCTTTTTTTCCTCCTTACTGTTCTTCTCCTACAATATATCCTTCCTGTGATTTGTACGCCTATTCTCGCTAATGTTTCTTGCCTTCCATTTTATATCTTTTTCTTTTTCTCCCTCTCGATATTGCCTTCTCTTGTCTTTTTCTTTCTCTTCATTGCGTATTGCTTCTTTTTGTCTATTTCTCTTGTTCTTTTATATCCCATCTCCTTTTCTGTACTTTCTTCTCTCCTTTATTTTATTACTTCGCTTTTCTATCTCGCCTTCTTTGTCTTTTCTTGTCTATTTTGTACCTTGAGCTGTTCTTATGGGTTTTATCTTTTTCTAGCTCTCTCTCGTTTCTGTTTCTTCTTCTTTATTTTTCTTTCTCGTGTTCATTGTTACTCCTTTTCCTACTTACTCCTTTGTATCTTTCATTTCTCTTGTTTTTTTTGTCCTCTTCTTCTTCCTGCTTATCGTTCTTCTCTCTGTAGCTTCTTATTGGCGCCTTTTCCTCCTGTTTTCTTTCCTATTCTCTTGCTTTACTATTTGTCACTCTCTTGTCTTTACTGTATTGTTTTCCTTTCTCCTTTTTGTCTTTCTTAAATCTTGTGCTCTGTATTAATTACTTTCTTGTTCTCTACCATGTTTCTCTTGCTTTCTTGCTACCTTCTTCATTCTTATTTCCCCTTTTGTGTCCTTTTTCCTTTTTTTTGATTATATTATTTTCGTTTTTCTTCTTTCTTCCTTTCTCCTCTTATTTCTTTCTCCTTCCTCTCTTTCATACATATTTTTCTTGTCATATTTTCTTCTCTTTCATTTCATCTTCTCTCTTTCGTCCTCATTTCTCTTGTCCTGTTTTTCTCCCTCTTTCCTGTCTCGCTATCTCTCCTTCTTTCCTTCCTTGTTTTCTTTCTGTCTTTATCTTGCCTCATTCTTTGTCTCTTATCTACTTTTTGTTTCTCATCCTCTCTCCTGTTTGTTTGTCTTCCGCTTACCTTATTTTTAATTTCTTCTCATTACTTTATTTTCTCACTTTATCTCTTTGTTGTTGTTCCCTTTCTCCTCTATTGTCTCATGTGTCTTGTTGTTTTATGTTTTCTATTCCTTTCTCTTTGTCTCTCTCATATAGCTTCATTTGTCTGTTGCCTTTTACTTCCTTCTCTTTGCTCTGTTATTGTGCCTGCTATTGATTTTCATTTTTCTCTCTCTTGTGTTTTTGCTAGCCTTTTGCTGTCCCTTATTTCTCTTTTTCCCTTTTACTCCCTATTTCTACAGCTTCTCACTCCCTCTGTCTCTCTGTTTCCTATTCGTCTGCCTTTTGATTCCTTATTACTTCCTTCCTTCTCTTGCTATCTTCTTAGCTTCTTCGGTGTTTCACGTATCAATCTCTCTCTCTTGTTTTCTTCTTTATCTAATTGCTTCTCATTTTTCTTGATCTTGATGCTTTTTTCCTTCTCGCCATTCTATATCATTCTGCAGTTGTTCCTTCTTCCTTTTCTTCTCTTGTTATTCATTCTGTCTTTCCTTCTTTTCTTTCTGTTTCTTTCTTCTATTGCTCGTTCGCTTACTGTTACTTTCTTATTGTCAGTCTGTTTTTCATTCTTTTTCTCCTACGTCATGTCTTTCTTCCTTCTTCTTGTTTACTGTTTCGCTTTCTGATTCCTTATCTTTCTTTCCTATTTCTCTTTTGTTCCTTTCTTCATCATTTACTCTACGCCTTGTTCTTTTGCTTTACTGTTATTACTTCTCTTTTCTGTATTATGCTTTTCTTTTATTTTTCTCTCCTTATTGCCTTGTCGTATTGGTTCCCGCCTATTACTTCTTCTTTCCTCTTTGCTCTATCTCTCTCTTGTTCTCACTTCCTTCTTTGTTGTTGCCTTTTCTACTTCGTATTTTTACTGTCATGCATCCTATTTCTCTTTCTCGTTT